GGTTTCCCGTCTTAACACTCTGCGGACGGTCGTCGTGTCGAACACGACGACTGTCTGCAAGTGTGCAGACGCCGCAGGGTGGAGTTTTCCAACAGGAGGCCACAGTCACTGCAGTCCGCGAACACCCGAAGGCTGCGGTGTTCTCCCGCCGTGGACGATCGTCGTGTCGAACACGACGACCATCTGGCCGATCTCCGCATGGAAAAGTCCTGCAGAGTCCGGCCGGGCCGTTGTCGTGTTCAACACAACAATCGCACGACACTCACTGCAACCCGAGCACACCCGCGGGCTGCAGTGCTCTCCCGCTGGGGACGGTCGTCATGTCGAACACGACGACCGTCTGGCCGATCTCCGTCATTGTCGTGTTCAACACAACAAGCGCACGATAGTTTGCGGACGGTAGTAGGGTCGAACAGGACGACCGTCTGGCTGTTTGCTGCTAGGTGAAGTGTCGTGCCTACGTCTTGTGAATGATGTCGTGCGTTTGTCGTGTTGAACACGACAACGGCTAGGGTGGACTCGCTCGAGCTTTGCATCGTGTGTGGTGCTCGACGAACGAAACACGTTGGCGCTCGTCCTGGCAACCGTGGTTGTTTTCTTTCCCTGCTAGTTGTGTGCATGCCCTTTGCTGATTTCTTTCGTTGTGGCTTGCAGGCGTTTGCCAATCGCTATGGCCATCTCTGAGTGGATGACCCCGGGTCTTTGGCGCGAGCACATTGCATACCCTTTCCCCCCATGCATGCTGCGAGTCTCCGGCTGTGGAGAGTCCACTGTTATTGACGGTGCGACTAAAGAAGACTTCGAGGGCGACCCGTGGATGATGGTCGTCCCGTTCTACGACGATCACCTGGACTCCTGGGAGGAGCATGTTTGGGACAAAATGCTCAGGGAGTGCCCTTGGGCGGACGACTACAAGTTCGCTAATATGTGCGAGTTCGGGAGTTTTATTCCCGTGCCCGCTGCTGTGCTCGGTTCTGTTCGGTGCTCTCACTTGAGTGCAAAGCTGAGGATCGATCGTCGTTACAATAAGTTGGATTGCAAGATCGTGACTACTTCTCCACGCACATGGTCCCGTTCGCTGAAACATGAGTTGCTTGCTTGTGCACAACATTCCGATTTCATCGACGAGTATCCCTTGCGCTCTCTCGGGTTGTTGCTTCGAGCAGTTTCCTAGTGCTGCATTATATTGCATCTCGGAATGTTTATCTGCTGTAGGGTCCTTTGCGTCGCATGCTCGAACCGGGATGGGACCTTGACTGACGCTGTGGTCTACGTATCCAGAAATGAATTGGACATGGGGAAAAAAGGGATGAGTTTGGTCACAACACAATTCGCCGGGACATGGGATTTGGTAATTGGGGGCAAGGCGGATGATGTGAATGCATGGCGTGAGGTAGAAGCTAAACCGTCCTTTGTGCGGGATGCTATAGGCAGGTCACTTGCCGGTAGGATGGGGTTCGTCCGCATGAAATATATTTTTGTGTTCGCGGAAGATGCTTCAGTCGTTGCACCAAAATATCTCACTTTCGGGTCGCCTGTGCGAACATTCAATGAACGCATGAACACAACAGCCCGTCGTCACATATGCTGAGTTTTTGCGAGCAGTCTACACAATGGCTGAGTTTTTGCGAGCATTCCTTTATCGCTTTGCGATCAGTCTAGACATTGGTTGAGTTTAATGAACACCTGTTGGTACACTCTGTTGACAAAACTAGGTTGTCAATCAACTGTGGCACGAAGGAAAACAGGTAGCGCTGTAGTAGATGTCCACATTTCTCGAATGTGGATTATTACGATGTTAGGCATGACCGGTTGATAAGGAAGCGTTCATTGTCACGATGTTGGGCATGACCGGTTGATAAGGGAGCGTTCAAAGAGTGTGAGTCCCGAGAGGATGTGTTCTAAAACACATGTGCATTGTGTTGCGGAGATGTGATCCGCGACTGTCTGCTCTTAAAATGTTTGTGGAGTCATTTTGTGGATGTGACTGGTGAGAGTTCGTTCATGCAATGTTGAGCATGATCTCTGAAGTGCGTGTACTTCTCTTATTTTTGGTTACCCAAAAAGTGCGTTTAATGAAATTTGTGCAATGCCCTGACCGGTGAGAGTTCGTTCCTGCATTAATGAAATGACGTGAGAATGTTGAGCATTAAATCTGAAGTGCGTGTACATCTCTGATTTGTGGTTACCCAAAAAGGGTGTTTAATGGAACTTGTGCAATGCCCTGCGACCTGTGTATGGGGGTTATGAAGCCCGCGTGTGCAATCAGTACGAAACCGCCTTCACTTGAACATGAACCGCCTCCGAATTGAATTCCTTCGGCGTCGTATCGCCCAAAACATACGTTGGAATTAGTCGGTCATCGTGTCGTGACTAGGCGATCACCGTTCCCAACACGACACCTCCCTAATTCTGGCGTGAAGTTGTCGTGTTGGGCAGGATCACTAATTCTGGCGTGGAGTTGTCGTGTTCTGCAGTGGGCTTGGTTGTCGTGTTGGACACGACGACCATGCGCCGCTCCATCACTGCGGTGGTCGTGTTGAGCACGATGACCGCTGGCAGTCGTGTGTAACACGGCGACCGTTGGTGGTCGTGTTCAACACGACGACTGTTGGCGGTCGTGTTCCACACGACGACCTCTGGTGGTCGTGTTCAACACGACGACCGCTTAGTGAGAGGTGTGGTTGTCACGTTGGACACGATCACCTTCGGCTCCAGCTTCGTCGCATACTGTTGGTGGTCGTGTTCAACACGACGACCGCTGGTGGTCATGTTCAACACGACGACCGCTGGTGGTCGTTTTCAATACGACGATTGCTTAGTGAGAGGCGTGGTTGTCGAGTTGGACACGATCACCTTCGGCTCCAGCTTTGTCACGTCGGACACGACGATCGTGCGCTCCTACATTGTCGTGTTCGATACGACAATCGTGCGCCCCAGCATTGTGTAATCCAGCTTGAGTACGTGTGCATACATCGTGTACTCCAGCTTGAGTACGTGTGCATACATGTAGTTCCAATAATATAAGCCATTGCTCACCGTCTGCTATTGCGTTCTTCGTCCGTGTTTTTACTGGCAGTTTGTAGGTTGACTACTACTGGTTCCTGGTGAATTATAAATGATGGTTTCTTCAGAGAGACAAGGGAAACGCTCACGGGGCAGGAGCAGTGCGAGTGTCGAAAACTCGCCGAAAAAGTCGAAGGGAACCCCAGTTGCTGGGGTCGACAATGTGGAGACGCCGGGATCTAAGGGGACTACTCAGCACCGGTCATCAAGCTCGGCGATGCAGACCCTTGCGCAGCGAAGTACACCTCATTCAGGCCCAACATCTGGTCAAGGCAGTGCTGGTCAAGGGTCTGGTGGTCTTGGTCAAGGGTCTGTGCAGCGGGGTGCACCTCGTTTGGGACCGACAAGTCGTCAAGGCACAGGTGTCGAAGAGCATGCCCAGGCTGTAGGGAGCGGTCAAGGGTCTGGTGGCCGTGGTCAAGGGTCTAGTGGTGGTCTGCGGACCCGCACACATGATACAGTGCGAGGTCGGCCCGTCACACATAATACAGTGCGAGGGGCAAGTTCAGGGGAGAGGTCTGTGCATGGGCAGTCAGATAAAGTTCCCGTCGTCGACTACAAAGATAAATTATGGATGCTGGATTGGGTGGGCGAGGTGGGCCAGGCTGGAAGTGGTCTATTATTATACGTGGTGTTGAAAGAACAAATTAAACCGATAGGTGGTATAACATCTTGGGCGGGAAGGGATGGTCAGTTCGCCACTTTCGAGTTAACTATGCTACTCAACGGCAAATGCAACAAAGTTGCAGAGACAAACCATGTTGTTCTCAAGTGGAGCAACCACAAAGGATATGGTAAGTCGCTTGTGGATGTTTTCAATCCTGATCCGAATCGCGAAGTCCATTTACCTGACCTCCGCCAAGTTTTCGTGTTCTTCAACACGAATTCAGTGCCAGACCATCTCTCAGTGGCTCACAAAAATGACACTATTACAGAACCGAAAACTGTTCTGTCAGCGGCGCGTCCGACTGTGGGTGTCATATCAATTCGGCAGCCAACAGTGCCCGCGCCGGCTGTCCCGAGAGAGGGATAAATCGACGCAGTGTCCACACCGGTTGTCCCGCGACCGGGACAAATCGCTGCCAAGGGCCCAGCTTATGCTCAGACTCCGTCGCCGGCGCCCAAGAAGATCCGTTCAGTTTGTGTTGCGTGACATGCAAAGGCATGTGGGTTCCTCGAGCATGTACGGTGCTGTGCAACCGCCTTTGTATTTCGGTGACTCCGAGGGGAGCAGTGGCGAGAGTACACAGAGGGAAGAGGAAGAGGAAGAGAAAGGTTATGAACAGGGGAGTGGCCATCGGTGCGGAGAGGAGGACGATAGTGAGAATGCAATTAGTGAGCCAGAGGGTCCTTAATGGGGACATAGGTTAATTCCAGTGCAGCATGACGTGGGCGGAAGGGACAATCCTGGTGAGGAGCACTATGAAGATTTACAGCAACACGATGAGGGTTGGCATGGGGACGAGCCACAAAAGGAAACCGGTGGGGAATCTAGGCAGGAGAGGAGAAAGCAGGAAAGAAGAAGAAGTCGCGAGGAGGGTAGAAGAGAAGGGACAACTCCTTCATCGACAACCGCAACGGTCGCTGAGAAGAAGAGGAAAGCGACAACTCCTTCGTCGATCCCCGCAGCGGTCGCTGAGAAGAAGAGGAAAGCGAGGCAAGATAGAAAGAAAAGCTTGGACCACAAAAGAGGCAAGAGACAAGTACTGCCAATGCCAATGGACGAAGCAGTCCAACGTCAACATGACGTGGAAGCTGCTGAGAAACACAAGCCGGAACGGCAAAAAAAAGCAGCAAAGGGTGGTACAATGGCAAAGACGGCCGTTTTTCCTGCCAATGAACAACCGCAGTACGGCGATGAGGCAAAAGGCAAGACAGCGACCAGGCCGTCTAGATTGCAACTGCCACCGACTGAGCCTGCGACTTCGCATCTCGGGAAAGGATAATTTCTGGACTTCAATGATGACGGTACCCAGAAGAGCAAGATACAGTTCATCACAGTCAATTTCGAACAGATTTTGGATATTCCAAATGAAGAATTCAGGTATAATCAAAGATTTTTGCAAGAAAATCATATCAACGAGATCTATGAAGCCATGGTCACATCAGGTGAAGCGGCCATTCGTGAAAGGACAACGAGCGGGATGGACTTGAGCACATGTCCGATGTACGAGAAACCCGTGTTGTTGCTAGTTGCGCTGCATGACCAGCTGCATACAGATTCGTCGGGAGAAGTCGTGCGCGCAACGAGAGTCACTTCCGCTGAGTTCCACGAGACATCACTGGAAGAGTACTTCTGGTACCCTCTCAGTGGTCAACACAACGTAGCAGCAGCAAGAAGATGTCTCCACGAACATCCGGCTGTGGCGAAAGAATTGCGGCTGGATACATGGACAGCCAGACCAGTATATTATCCCGACCAGTTCATGGACCACTATGGGACGTTGAGCACGTTCCAGAATGCAAAGGACAAGTGGAACACTTCACCTCACCAGAGCTCCGTGGTTCGGGATATCAGGAAGTTGTGGAAGGCGTCTGCTTGTCCTGATGCGAAAGGTGGGCAGGGGGCTGAAGAGAAAAATGCGGGATATAGAAAGTTTGCGGGGGAGGCACTTAGGGTGACCGGCGTAAATCATTACGTTGATATGTCACTCGGTCCGTGGAGTTCGGTGTGGCCCGATGTCCTTGGTCCTTACATGATCTTAGCTAGGGCCTCGGAAGATGTGTACGATAGCGTAATGAACGTCTATGCGGTTTGGGAACGCAGTCAACTGCCGGAAAGAGACGCTGTGAAGCCTGCCACCAAACAGGGTGAAGCGGGGAAAGCTCAAAAGCTAGATACCCGGTTACGAGATCAAGGGTGCATCTAGAGTTCCAGTGCATTGGATACAGGGTACAAGAGGCCGAGGTTACCTCGTTCCGGTCCATGATCCACATGTGAGATCATGAAAATCACTTTCCACTCTGGGGAGGCATGAGCGGCTGCAGCTCTTGCGCGATGTGTTAGGAGGTGCAGTTATATTGGCTCCAAAAAAAAGCAAAGCTGCAAAAGATGCTTGGCTGCATTCAATGGAAACTTATGTTGAAGTTGTAAAGACGGAGAGAGCGATGCTGCGAATGTTCCATTACTTCGTCTTCATTTCAGACGCAGCCAAGAAGCCGTCCGATTGGCAAGATCCTTTCTTCATGGACCTCGTGGAAGTGTTCGACAAATACCGCAATCAGGGCCTTACCTATGAGAGATGGGTTGATCAGAGGCAACATTTCAAGGATTTGGCTTGGATAAAATCGTTTCCCCCAATGCTGGGAGGCGATGATGAGAAAG